CGGTATAATGAGAAGTGACAAGGCCAGGCTTAAATTGTCTCTTCCAGCGAAAAATCAATATCAGCATACATAACACTGTATGAGCCTCTAGCTGAAACATCGCCATCTAATTCACAATTTTGATCTTTCAATCTTTTAGATTAAAAACCAAATTACAAGTTTTGAGTTGTTTGCACAATTTGATGCACACATTACCCATTTACAATATCCTTTCTTCTTGATCCTTTTTGAAGTATCACTTTAGAATTGATCATATTGAAATTATAATGTTCATATGCTTGTTAAATTGAAGAGATTGTTCACACTGGCATGAAATGATATTTCATCCTGTCACTTTTCATCTTTTGTTTAATTTTCAATGTGATAAACTGCCTCAAAAATTTTTAATAGCAACTAGTTGTAAGTGACATTTTTTTAATTCATATAAATTCAATCAAAAATGCATAAAATAAAATGGAGTAAGCGCCTATTGATGCAGTCATACATCAGGTGCATTTATGTAATTATATATATATCTATCAGGTGTATTTATGTAATTATATATATCTATAAGGTGTATTTATGTTTTAACATATATCTGTCAGGTGTTTTAATGTGATTATCCAACAGGTGTTCTTATGTAGTTATCCAAAAGGTGATATCCAAACATAGACATTAAACATTATCATCATACAATTAACTACAAGCTGTGTCACAACTCCTCTGGAGAATATGATAAAGCTATGACCAGGTCCCCATGTCACCTCCTCCTGTACACACAATGTCTAGGCTATGACCAGATCCCTGTGTCATCTCCCCTTCTACAGACAATGACAAGGCTATGACCAGGTCCCTGTGCTGTCTCCTCTGGAGACAATGACAAGGCTATAACCAGGTCCCTGTGCTGTCTCCTCTGGAGACAATGACCTGGTTTTGGCTATGTCCCTGTGCTGTCTCCGCTGGAGACAATGACCTGGTTATGGCTATGTCCCTGTGCTGTCTCCTCTGGAGACAATGACCTGGTTATGGCTATGTCCCTCTGCTGTCTCCGCTGGAGACAATGACCTGGTTATGGCTATGTCCCTCTGCTGTCTTCTCTGGAGACAATGACCTGGTTATGGCTATGTCCCTCTGCTGTCTCCGCTGGAGACAATGACCTGGTTATGGCTATGTCCCTCTGCTGTCTTCTCTGGAGACAACGACCTGGTTATGGCTATGTCCCTCTGCTGTCTCCGCTGGAGACAATGACCTGGTTATGGCTATGTCCCTCTGCTGTCTCCGCTGGAGACAATGACCTGGTTATGGCTATGTCCCTGTGCTGTCTCCGCTGGAGACAATGACCTGGTTATGGCTATGTCCCTGTGCTGTCTCCGCTGGAGACAATGACAAGTCTATGACAAGGTCTCTGTGGTGTCTCCTCTGGAGACAATGACCTGGTTATGGCTATGTCCCTGTGCTGTCTCCGCTGGAGACAATGACCTGGTTATGGCTATGTCCCTGTGCGGTCTCCTCTGGAGACAATGACCTGGTTATGACCAGGTCCCTGTGCTGTCTCCTATGGAGACAATGACCTGGTTATGACCAGGTCCCTGTGCTGTCTCCTCTGGAGACAATGACCTGGTTATGGCTATGTCCCTGTGCTGTCTCCGCTGGAGACAATGACCTGGTATGCCTAGGTCCCTGTGTCAGCTCCTCCTCTAGATTTCCCTATACACTCACACCAACACCACTTGCAGTGTGATTGTGGCTATATGTATGTTATGCGAATCATTAGGGACTAATACAGTGATAATGTGTTACAGTGCTCTTTGGTGATGAAAGCTGCTGCTGGCTTGGCGGCTAGATTGATGTCGGTATGTATAGTGAACATGCAGTGGATGACTTGTGTTATCTCCACTGTAGGGGCATGTCCACCCAGAACTTCTCTCACAGTCATCACAAGCATATACATGTGAGCTGGTGATGTAGGTCAGGACAACACCATGCATCTGCACTGTAGAAATATCTCAATCTCATGACTAAATGACCTGCAACATATGTAAGGCTTCAAGGGTGTCGAAGTGCCTACAAGTGCTACAGACCTGCGACATCTGCAACTTCTACAAGTAACAGTCCTTAGCAGCTATGTGATACCATAGCTGCATTGCAACACATGCCAGAAGTTACATTGATATATGCTGTATACCCATGACCTTCACCTTAGGAGTGTGGTTCTAATTTAGGTTACCATAGAAACAGATGTGTAACCATGACCACAGAGCAACCTCCTGGCTCCATTTTCTCAAATATGTAACCATAACGTAATATTACAATATTTAATACTAAACAATAATTAAAGCAATATGAAGTAGGTGTAACTTCAGAAACAAAGTAGTACTGAGTAGTGTGAAATGAAAACATAACGATGTTTTTCATAAATACTGAAAAGGAACCATTGTGATGAGGGAGTAACCAAAGTCAGGGAAAAGTAACCATAGTTAGGAGACAGTAACCAGAGTTAGGAAACAGTAGCTAGATTGTGGAAACAGTAACCAGAGTTAGGAAACAGTAACCAGAGTTAGGAAACAGTAACCAGATTGAGGAAACAGTAACCAGAGTTAGGAAACAGTAACCAGATTGAAGAAACAGTAACCAGAGTTAGGAAACAGTAACCAGATTGAGGAAACAGTTACCAGATTGAGGAAACAATAACCAGAGTTAGGAAACAGTAACCAGATTGAGGAAACAGTAACCAGAGTTAGGAAACAGTAACCACCAGAGTAATGAAATAGTAACCAGAGTTAGGAAACAGTAACCAGAGTTAGGAAACAGTAACCAGATTGAGGAAACCAGAGTAAAGAAATAGTAACCAGAGTAATGAAATAGTAACCAGAGTTAGGAAACAGTAACCAAATTGAGGAAACAGTAAACAGTTAGGAAACAGTTAGGAAACAGTAAACAGAGTTAGGAAACAATAACTAGATTTAGGAAACAATAACTAGATTTAGGAAACAGTAAATAGTATAAGGATACATTGTGTGAAGTTTGATTTAGATTTGGCAAAACAAACTCAAATTATCACACAGAAACTGATTTTAAATTAAAGTTACAGTAACCTTTGACCTTTGGACCTAAACAGCAATTCATCTCAAACAAGCTTTTTTTGTTAAGAAGCATAGCATCAAGTTTGAGTTAAGATTGGCTACAGTAAACTGGACTTTTTCCACAAAATGGATTTTCCATTATAGCAACAATAACCTCAACCTTTAACTTCTGGGTATGAAAAGTAAGCACTTCTGGTAAGAAAGCATTGTAGGAGGCTTGAGGCCCTAATGAAACAATAACCATAGTGATGAGACAGAAACCAGATTGAGGAAACAGCAACCAGAGGGATGAGACAGTAACCATAGTGATAAGGCAGTCATCATAGTGATGAGATAGAAACCAGATTGAGGAAACAGCAACAAGAGGGATGAGATAGTAACCATAGTGATAAGACAGTCATCATTGTAATGAGACAGAAACCAGAGAGATGAGACAGTAACCATAGTGATGAGACAGACATCATTGTAATGAGACAGAAACAAGATTGTGAGAAAAGTCAAATTATTTTCAGTACACAAAAATGATAGATTTGTGTGTAGATTCATAACAAACCTAATATTTTTCCCAGTAAGCATGGTAAACCCTTTTGCATCCATTTAATGAGCCCTGGTCACTTTTATAATTAGCCTGTTCATTACCCCAGCACCCTACACCTAGTCAGTTTACCCCTCCGAGTTTAAGACAGTGAAGATATTTGACTGCATCTGGGATAAGAAAGCTGATTGTTTGTCATGGGTTGATAACAAATTTCATACCAGAACAATGTAACATATAGGTTCACAAGAAAGTGTTTTTCAATTTGAAATTACTTGTATGTAATCAATACACCAGGGTAAAATACAAAGAGTGTATCACAAAGTTGTAAGTAGGAGAGGTCAGAGTTTATACAATTCCCATTCTTACATAATGCTTTAATTCTATAAGGTCAATAACAGAACATCATTTATAAGACATGAATGCTGTCTGTCCTTAGAACATATTTTAATAAATGTGAACCAGAATCTGATCAGGTGTAGAACATGCTGTTATGAAACTATAGGGTAAGTGTGAACCAGAATCTGACCAGGTGTAGAACATGATGTTATGAAACTATAGGGTAAGTGTGAACCAGAATCTGACCAGGTGTAGAACATGATGTTATGAAACTATAGGGTAAGTGTGAACCAGAATCTGACCAGGTGTAGAACATGATGTTATGAAACTATAGGGTAAATGTGAACCAGAATCTGACCAGGTGCAGAACATGATGTTATGAAACTATAGGGTAAGTGTGAACCAGAATCTGACCAGGTGTAGAACATGATGTTATGAAACTATAGGGTAAGTGTGAACCAGAATCTGACCAGGTGCAGAGCATGATGTTATGAAACTTTAGGATAAGTGTGAACCAGAATCTGACCAGGTGCAGAACATGATGTTATGAAACTATAGGGTAAGTGAGAACCAGAATCTGATCAGGTGTTGAACATGATGTTATGAAACTATCGGGTAAGTGTGAACCAGGATCTGATCAGATGTAGAACATGATGTTGTAAAACTATAGGGTAAGTGTGAACCAGAATCTGATCACAGGATAAATGTGAACCAGATTCTGATCTGGTGCAGAACATGATGTTCTGATATTATAAGGTAAGTGTGAACCAGAATCTGATCAGGTGTAGAACATGATGTCATGATACAATAGGGTTTGTGTGAACCAGAATTGATCAGGTGTAGAACATGACGTCATGATTCTTTAGGGTAAGTGTGAGGCAGAATCTGTTGTTAGATTCTCAAGTTCTGATCTTGATAATGTCAAAAAAAAAAAAAACGACCTGACCATGTCTGTATTTATCATCTGAAACCATTTACAATCTCAAGATCTTGCAATAAGCAAACAGGGAGAGGGGTGGATGAATATAATGTAATCTTGTTAACCAATGTTGCTATATACATACTGAATCCTCCTCTGTCCATTTCTTCTCTATACTTCGGAGGGCAGGAGACTTGACAAGTGCCTGGAGACCCTTGCCTGTATCATAGGTATATCGGTGCAACTAAAAATGAAAACATACATCTGATTAACATTTTCAAAAATTGTCAATTTGGCATTATAATCATAGTGAAAGACATCAGAACACCAGTAGAAATGGCGGTTTCATTAATTGATTGGAAGTTTTTGGTAACAAGCAACTAATGTAACATTGTAAAAAAACACCTTTGATCTGTCTTGTAATGGCATATCATTTTACAAAAGACACAGAATTCCATGTCACCATATCTCAAACAAATCCAAAATGGTATGTTTACTGGCATAGCTGTACCATTTTCACACATCTACAATGATCGCTTTAGAATTCTGATCTGATTATTTTGTAAGAATTTTTCAGGCATGTCCAGAACAGCAATTCTAAAGTCTGTAAGTAATATAGTGGTACAGAACTTACTGTATCCATGGCATTGATAGTGGTCTCATCCATTGAGGCAGCCTGACAGCCATCTTCTGTAGATCCTCCATCACACATCCCCGCGAATGCTGCCACGCTCCTGTCAGAATATGGAGGATTGCCATCAGATTTTCAAGACTAGGTATATGTACAGGTTCACAAGATGGTCACCATATCACGTAAATTTACCCTGATTATCCAGTGATGAGATAAATTCAAGCAGTAATTAAAACCTGCTCATCATAACATTATATACACCATATTAATGACAGTTGTGGTAACCTACTTTGTGACCTATATCGATGACAGTTGTGGTAACCTACTTTGTGACCTATATTAATGACAGTTGTGGTAACCTACTTTGTGACCTATATCGATGACAGTTGTGGTAACCTACCTCATGACCTATATTAATGACAGCTGTGGTAACCTACTCATGACCTATACTAATGACAGTTGTGGTAACCTACTTTGTGACCTATATTAATGACAGTTGTGGTAACCTACTTTGTGACCTATATTAATGACAGTTGTGGTAACCTACTTTGTGACCTATATCGATGACAGTTGTGGTAACCTACCTCATGACCTATATTAATGACAGCTGTGGTAACCTACTCATGACCTATACTAATGACAGTTGTGGTAACCTAATTTGTGACTTATATTGATGAAAGTTGTGGTAACCTACCTTGTGACCTATATTAATGAAAGTTGTGGTAACCTACTCTGTGACCTATATTGATGACAGTTGTGGTAACCTACTTTGTGACCTATATTAATGACAGTTGTGGTGCCCTACCTTGTGACCTATATAAATGACAGCTGTGGTAACCTACTTTGTGACCTATATTGATGAAAGTTATGGTAACCAACTTTGTGACCTATATTAATGACAGTTGTGGTAACCTACTTTGTGACCTTTATTAATGAGTTGTGGTAACCTACTTTGTGACCCATATTAATGACAGTTGTGGTAACCTACCTTGCAGCTCGTAGATACATCATCAAATCTCCATCCATGACAGCATTTGGCCGCCATCGAAGCTCTTCCCAATACTCCATTTTCTCGGGCATCTGGGATGGCATGACATCGCGCTTTAATTCGGGCAGGCGAGCCTGAAAAAAGTATAAATGTTTACTACCATTATTAATATCAGCATGTGTTTTTTGAGATAGGTCTGTAAAGCTATTCAACAGACAGAGGTGTGATATTTACACTTTACCAGACACTTATTTTTTTACAGTTTTGAGGCATCTGATGAAAACCTGACCCTCACTTGTGTTTTCCTGAGTGTCTCTAATTGTCAATCTACCTGATGACAACCTGACAACCCCTTGTGTTTTCCTGCCTCTAATTGTCAATCTACCTGATGACAACCTGACCACCCCTTGCGTATTCCTGACTGTCTCTAATTGTCAATCTACCTGATGACAACCTGACCACCCCTTGCGTATTCCTGACTGTCTCTAATTGTCAATCTACCTTATGACTATCTCACTCTGACCACATCATAGATTAATCTAGACTTTTCAGAATACTACCCATTGTAGAAAAAGGGGAATTTGGGTTATTTTGAGAAATTGGAAAAATTTCGAAAAAAACCCTTTGGTCACAATTGAAAAGAGGGATAGGTTAAAACTATATAGCATACATGAAGATTACACAAATAAAATATGATAATGTAGAGGTTATAATGATATTTCAATTTGACGATGGAATGATTTGAAAATATATTAAGTAAAAATATACTAATTACCTCTGTTTTAGGGAAAGTTTTCTCTATTTTGGGGAAATTTTCCCAGTTTTTATGTATATTTTCTTTAAGGGAAATTTATTTATATTCTTAGAGGAAAATATACCACTAGGGAAACGCTACCCTTTGGTGGTAATAAAATTTGTCTTGATTCATCCCTGTACATCTTGTGTTTTTTGACTGTCTGTAGTTATAAATCAAATGATTATTCTGTTCCACATACATCTTTTTGGGAACCTGACATTGTCGCCTGTCTGTTCATTTACCTGATGACTCTGTCCCACCCGAATCTCCCCTTGTGTGGTCGCCAGCCTCTTGGTTTTAGGGTTGTATTCAAGGACGTAGAAGAAAGAGTCTGGTTCGGGCTTGAAGTCTCTGGCAGCGCTGAGGTCGTGGTAACGACTAACTTTACACCTCCCTCTGTAAAGAATCATAAATACAATATTAAATCTGGTCACATGTTACACCCATCAATTCCTTGCTGATTGATAAAACAAGACCTTCCTTCTATCCGACAATAAGCCCGGGGGGTATATTCTGATGCTATGTAGAAAGATGAGATTATTTCAGGACAATGAAATTGACATTTTTAATCAAACTGTAATACATGTGTTTGGGCTTATTACAAGTCAACAGTAGAAATAGCTGCCAATAACATATCATATCTGTTACTAACTCAAGTAAGAGTAAATACGATACCCCCCTGGACAGGATAAATATGGTATTTTAACTTCTTAACATCAAAACATTTGTTCAACACATTGCCATTGAACACTAGCTCTACAATCTGTTAATTAAAATGTTTCTACCAAATTTGAGAAACGACCACATGGATTCAAGGGGAAGGACTGTAAATACAAGGCCATGATAGTTAACATAAACTATAAGGGTTGATAAACTTGATTAAAGACCTCAGAGCCTTGACAGGGTAGGAGTCAGCAGCATCTGATATGAAGAGCTCCCTTGAGCGGATGTGTGGGTCTGGTATCAACGATTCTCTTCCACAGCCTGAAAATATACAAATATCAGAACTCTTAAAAATTCATTCTACCAAAAAATATAAATATTCAACACATGATGATTTCTTAAGAATGTCAGACTTTTTTTTAACTTTTTTTTCCTCGCTTGATAATATACTACAGCTGTTCACCTTTTTTTGGGGTGTCAGTTTTACTTTGACTGTTAACTACATACATACAGACTTGTTACTGGAGGAAAAGGCAGCCAGAATCAAAAGACAAGACACAGTTCTAAAGGCCTCCTGAAGAATGACTGTTTACATCACAGACTTCATATACTGATCATTGGTTCCTGTTAATAGCACTATCTGTATAATCACCATCACACCTCTATCATTAAACCAGATCAGATTCTACATAGGTATACTGATACACAGGTATACTGACACAGAGGTATACTGACACACAGGTATACTGACACAGAGGTATACTGATACAGAGATATACTGACACACAGGTATACTGACACACAGGTATACTGACACAGAGATATACTGACACACAGGTATACTGACACACAGGTATACTGACACACAGGTATACTGACACACAGATATACTGATACACAGGTATACTGACACAGAGATATACTGACACACAGGTATACTGACACAGAGGTATACTGATACAGGTATACTGACACACAGATATAATGACACACAGGTTTACTGACACACAGGTATACTGATACACAGGTATACTGACACACAGATATACTGACACACAGGTATAATGACACACAGGTTTACTGACACACAGGTATACTGACACAGGTATACTGACACACAGATATAATGACACAGGTTTACTGACACACAGATATACTGATACACAGGTTTACTGATACACAGGTATACTGATACACAGGTATACTGACACACAGATATACTGACACACAGATATAATGACACACAGGTTTACTGACACACAGGTATACTGACACAGGTATACTGACACACAGATATAATGACACACAGGTTTACTGACACACAGATATACTGACACACAGATATAATGACACACAGGTTTACTGACACACAGATATACTGATACACAGGTATACTGACACACAGGTATACTGACATAGATATACTGACATAGATATACTGACACACAGATATACCGACACAGAGGTATACTGACACACAGATATACTGACACATAGGTATACCGACACACAGATATACTGACACACAGGTATACTGACACACAGATATACTGAGACACATGACACACAGATATACTGAGACACAGATATAATGACACACAGGTTTACTGACACACAGATATACTGACACAGAGGTATACTGACACACAGACACACAGATATAATGATACACAGATATAATGACACACAGATATACTGACACACAGATATACTGACACACAGGTATACTGACACACAGATATACTGACACACAGATATACTGAGACACAGATATAATGACACACAGGTTTACTGACACACAGATATACTGACACAGAGGTATACTGACACACAGACACACAGATATACTGACACACAGATATACTGACACACAGGTATACTGATACACAGGTATGATGATACACACATATAATGATACACAGGTATGATACACAGTTGCTACTGGCACAAGACCAGGTGTATAACACCACTGGATGCAAACATGTAAGTAATCATAATTAACTTCACACACTTTTTCACGTTTTAAGATTTCTCGAAACAATGATATACGTTGCAATACCTCACCGGAGAAAGGCAGAGTTTTCCTGCTGGTCTTACTATCTGTCCATCTCGTCTGTTACTTTCTGTCCTATCTCAAATACTCTCGTCCTACATTTAATATAGGTCACTTAGCTGATGCAGTCTGCACTGCTTCCAGTAACTCCTCTAGGTATGTAAATTATAACTCCTTACATCAATATAATATTTTTTCAGTGGAATAAAACTCCACTCGAACCATTAGTTTTACTTAGGTTCCAGTAATATTTGAAAGTCTCATAAAGAACATACAGTGCACTACATGTGGCTAAAAATAGCACCAATACAAAGCTATCAAAATTCCACTGATCCCAGCTTAAAACCTCCAAGGCTAGTAAATCTCACCAGATATCTGTACATCAAAAACTGCTGAATGCAATATAAGCTAAACCCACTTCACCTTCTGAATTATCCATGAATAGCTGAACACTTTCTAAGGTTTCCTCTGTGACGGGACAGCGGCCATGTTTGTTTGGGGTCACAGACAAGTAAAGCTGGTCGAAGATTCATAGCCACCTAGTCTGGTATCTGTCTCATACAACTAGGCCAACACTACCTCCCCTAGCCCAGAAAGACATGCCTGTTGTGTGGACTACAAGCTGTTCATAGCCAGCATAGGAAGGGAGGCAACAGCAACTTTCTGTCAAAATTTACTCACCACCAACAAAAATGAAACAAAAGCGTAGATACTCTGTTTTCCTTTTAGATTTGGCACACAAAGAATACCACACTTTTGAGGTCTTTTTTTTTTATAAAGCTTCTCTTTTCACTATTTTTTAAAATAGATATGTTGGAACATTACCTCTTTTTTTTTATTTTCTGTGCATTCATCAAAGTATATTTACATAGGTGAATCTATACATCCTGTTTTATGTGCGTTAATGAGTAGCAAGTTAAATATTTTTTATCCCAATGTAAATAAATAACACTTATTATATTTCCATTTCATAACCACAGATCTCCATAAAACATTCAACAAAACAAATACCCTTCTACACATCGTTACAACAGCAGAGCATACTTTCATATTATACAGGTAACAGTAGGTGGCAAAACTTGGGCATCAATGACGACACCTCAATAACAAAATTATTCCAAGAGAAAATGCTTAAGCCGATAATTTTATTTACCATAAATTTGAAAATACATATATAATATCACATCTAGATGTCTTGCATGTCTCTTCAGCCATTTAGTTTTACTAATAACACTCAAAATTGAATGTGCACAACTATGGACAATTGAGATCCTAATATTGGAAATTTGAGAAATGTCCTACCAGAAACTCCAATGAAATAGCGATAACAAGAATTATTTATGGAAAATTGGACGATATGGACCAGGAAGACAGATAAGTTGAGTAGTCTACCATCTAAAAGTAAGATTAAACCCACATAAGGGATAGCAATATTTAATATGTGACAAGTTTATAGTTCTCTCAAAATGTCACGTAAATGCTCTATCGTGTGTCAAAAGGGGAACTCATCGAATCCTTCCAATCTATAACACATATCCACCATTTTATTGGATTGTTACAAAGTATTTCCAAACAAAAATTCCATAAAAACGATTCAATTCATTTCACAGGTAGATTGCAGCAAACAAATGTCAACCTATAACTATCATAAACATCACACTGTTGTAAATTATCATACCTACAAACTTTCCCGATTTTGTTGTGAGTTTCCCAATTTTCACTTCCCGGCCCCACCTCCCTATCCTATCAATCAAATATAGAGTAATCTCTTGATTTCAGAGATCCTGCAAAGTAGTTCACAATAAACATATTATACTTGTCAAATAGGCCCGATAACAGGTAAAATTGACCACCTGACCACACAATAATGGCCTAGGTGATTACACTGCCCAATTAACTAATTAGTATCACCTTATACTCCATTAACGCCACACATGTATTTGACCCAGTTTTCGCTAATTAGTGCTTATTAGGCCTAATCTAGACCATAACAGAGGACTCAGAGCGGGCCATGGCAAATTGTCAGTTAAGATGAAGTAATAATATAGTTGATGAAGCAGTTATTCCCAAGTACATGATACACCTGCTCGGCTAAGTAACCAAGTCAACAAGGAAATGATTTTAAAAATGTATTTTTATGATTTAATATTGTGTAACCATTACTCAATACCAATTATTTAATCATATCAGTCTTAAAAAACTACTTATTTGGTATCCTGCATAAAATATCACCCCAAAGAAGCATTTCACTTTCTTAAAATATGACAAAAATAACATGATTGTGAGTTCTCCCCCAAAACCATGTTCTTGGGCAAACCAAACTTAGCTACAGGGTACACATTATTTACACAAAAGAGGGACTGATCAGGACCAGACTTTCCAATTTATAGCTACCTCCTAGTATTTTGTAAATATTTATTTCATACTGAAAAAAAATCATGAACCATTAGATCTAGATGACAACATGGTGAATTTCATAAAGAAATTAATTTCTTTTTATTTTCATGAGAAAATAGGAATTTTTCTTCTCATTTCAATTTAATAAATTCCCTCTGAAGCCTCATATTTGAAATTTTAATACATATATCATTACCAACCACCAAGCCGATAATCATCTATCTCTTACATTGTACGAGTTTTATGATTGCTGAACATTTAAATAAATTCCATTTTATAGAGGATCCATATTATCTGTAAATCCAAACTTGATTCCGAGATATGCTAAATATTCTATTACAGTTTTTCCCGCTTTCTTAACACTGCCACAAAGTACTGGGTTTTGTCGTAATACCCTGCGGAAATACTTCGTGGGATCATTAAATGAGGTCATTAAAAGAAACATTTTGTTAAGGACAAAATTGTATCAAGTATGTTTATTTAGTAAGGATAAAGATGAAAATGGCTCGCGATAATTATTTTATTCTTATCAAGTGAATTTCGGTATCCAACAGGCTCGTAATAGTTTACATTTCAACGATGCATTAATATACTACAGATAAGAACGACATTACGGGACAAACCATGTTTTACTACCCACTTGGTGATACAAGCCCATTAAAGTTGCATTTTCTGTTATTTTTACTTAAATAAGTGAGTAATATTGTCACAATTTGGAGGCCTATAGTCTGGAAAACTTGCTCATTCCTACTACAGTAACAACAAGTATTAACTGTAACCGGAGTCCCCCAAACTACCCCTCCAGTCATGAAGGACCGTCTGTTAAACAGACATCCTGATCTTTACAATCATGAACTTGACACAGGCAGGGAACCCCATACAACACCTTTAGATGAAACTTTTGACTAACCTTTCCTGGTCTGCTATTTTGTCCGATTAGAAAACGGATGTACCATCATTCAGATATCATCTTATCATCACCTGTATACCAAATTTCACAAAAATTGGACACAATCTCAATTTTGACCAATCAGATGTCACCATTTGGCAGCCATTTTGATCACAATGCCATTTTATTTATTATCTTAGCCTACAGTTAACATTTCCATTAATTTTCATCCTCATATGCTGAATTGAACAGAACAAGTGAAGGTCCAACTCTTTATTTCAGAGAGAAGTGTCGGAAGCCTATAAAATGGACAGTACAATAAGACAGAATAATAACAATAACAGAGTTAAACAAGAATCGGGGTAAATCCAGTAAGTCACTAAACACTGTTCTGGGGATTTAAACCACTGCCTAGCAATATACCCATGTCTGGTAGTAAGTCTTATAACAGCTTAGTAGCATTACCAATAATAATACTTCAACCTCCTGTAATAAGCCCACCCCCTGACTAAATCTGAAAACAAATATCATCTTGATGCTATCAATTTAGCACCTGATGGGTCCTATGTCGTTGGTCTCCATATTTTTTCACCCCAAAACTATAATAAGCACACTTCAAAAACACAATATTTGAAATGGGACTTAACAGAATGATAATGAATTAAACATCTGAATAAATGAAAGCTGTTTCACTTCATGAGACCCTATAAAAACTGAACACCCCCAAATCTTAAGGCTAAATAAAATACTAATCTGTTTCCTATCTGTTGGTCTATTTCAAACATGTTTCGGGCAATTTTCTTCCAGTTGTATCTATGCGTTAAATATACATTATGTATTAGCAAAATGTTTTCCGAAACGAAAATGTTCTTATTTCAAGGTCACAGGAAACACAAATATAATTCTATTTGGCCTCACTTACTGACAGCTGACATATAGCCATGTATACATGAGACATATCAAACTCACATGTATTTCTATCTACAAACTATCTCATTCAATTTAGTAGACATGCATTAATTGAGTCGGCTCCAGCCTTTGTATTCTAATGTCAATAACAAGACATTTCTAAAACATTTCGCGTGATGAAATTCATTACACAGTTTTACAGTTCTAATAAATAAAGATTAAAAAGAGAAGTTTAAATAGAAAATTGACATTGGTTGATGAACATACACTACAATAAATAAATCAAAACTCCTGGACCTTTTTATAATTGAGTGTCTAGTTCTACTGGGAGCAAATGTATTTAAATAATTGATAACACAAAATAATCATAACTGATCAATACGACTATATCATTTAAATATTTACCAACCTTTTTTGTTTAAACAAAGATACAAAGTGAATAAAATACATTCCCTTAATTGTTTGAAAATTTGAAGTAAATTATTAACTTATACAAACCACCAATGTCGCAGACATCAGTATCAAATACACCTCCCAACCTGATGTGATGACAGTAAACCTATGGTCAATTCCAGTCAGTGAAACGATTGAAGTTTGAAAACTTGTGGTCCCCGCCCCCCAATAAAAATTATTTTCTGTCTAGCAAAAGTATGAATCCTTTGTACTGTTGTTTCATTACTCTTTGTAGTGTACTGGACAAATAAAGTTGGAGATATGGGGGAGGAAAAACTATTGATAGAAATAATGGCCTAGCATGTGGTCACCATTCACAATGATAGTAATCTATACACACTGTTTCTGACAATTATACACTTAAATTCACTTATCAGTGTTTACTCAGATTTCTCTCTACCGCTTTTGCTTCACATCCTGCACACACCAGCTGACACAACGTCTTACCAGAGATGATACAGAACATGGAATGGTAGACTGTTTATCATCAAAAAGCAAAAGTTATAAGTTTACAACAGTTAGATAATATGATCATGTCTAGATTGTCTCTATCACATCAAATAACAAGACATCACAACTGATACCAGAATGTTGTGCAATATCTGAAACAGTAGGAAATGTTATTTAATGAAACAACATTTGAGTGAAATGAACAATAATTAATTAAATAAGAGAGTTTGTGTTATGAAAATCAAACCTATTACTAAGTATTGCCACAATAAGCCATGTATGAAGTTCCAAAAAAATTCTGTTGAGTGATATAAACTAAGGGCAATAACTCCACAAATAAGGGAATGAGGGTAATGAAATCAGGAGACAACTGGGGAACAGAGAAAACTCAG